ACAAATCCGAACCTGTGTTTAAAATTTCCTCAAGAATAGTTCACATTGTTTCCTAATATTCTTATTACCCAAAAGCTCCGAATCGCAGTGATTATGTAACGGGAAACTAGGTTATCCACAAGAAATGTCCAAATTTTAAGAATGGTTGCTTCTCCTTTGTCGAGTATGAGCGTTCATTAGTAATTGTTGCGACTCAATATTATGTTCATTAGTTGTTGAACGCTTTTCCCGCGCTTGACTATTATAGTTAGTGAACGCTCTTCCCGCCATTGTCTTTATGACGTATTTTTATGCTGAGTCGTGACGTATTGTCTATGCAGTGTTGTGACGTATGTTTTAGTCGTGCGGCAGTCTTGAGTGGAACCTTGGAGTGATAGGATGTTTATTATATTTACTTAGATATTAAAGTTATAGTTATTATGAAAAGGAGTTGAGTTTGTTAATTGATAGTTAGAATAGTACGACGCTTCAACGTATGAAAGAACTGACGAATGTAATCAATCCAAGAAGACGTTAGGAGTTGACATCCTTTATGTAGATTTGCAATTTTTCTGTGCCTGAAGCTGATGAGGATATTTCTATGATTACAAGTTCTACAATGTGAAGGAAGCGTGCAATCGCGGTTGGTAGGCTTGAGACAATAGACACAAATGTGTCTAGTGTTGTCGCCTCAACAGTTTTTTTTTTAAAGTCCCTGATTGTCTTGGGCAGGAATGAGCAGTTCCTACACAGGATTCTTGCTAGTATGAGCTGGAATTGATACAGTTGAAGACCAGCCCATTATTTATTTTGGAGATCATGGAGAGCACGGATTGTCATCTTCGTTCCTGCAATGGTGATCAGCCTAGTGTTTCTAGCATACTGCCAAAACTAGATATATTCCTGGCATCGGTTGAGGACAAAGCGAGCCGCCTGTTGCTGGAACGCCTCCACTCTATCAATGCTATAATGTCCCAGACTGAAGATGCGTAATCTAAACCGGACGGACAAAGGTTTTATATGATCTTTCTTTAACACTGGGGTTGCCAATCTTCAAGTTACATTGTTAATATGCTCATCCCAGCGGACCTCTCTTTGAATGGTAACACCCAGGTACTTAAATGAGGAAACTGGCTAATGTATATGGCCATGCAGTGTAGTAGTGTGAGGAGTAGTGTAGAGAAACTTCTAGAGACTGATAGTGTCTGGCACTTGGCAGGGTGAAAATGCTGTTATAGCTGGTCCTGGTCAGATCTGTTGGCGATCATCCTATACACTGCTGTGTCATCTACCAACAGTCAAGGTAGATGTCAGTTTTGTCGGGTAGGTCATTTATGTATGTTAGGAACAAACAGGGACCTAACACTGATCCCTGACTTCACATTCACAAAGGAGGAGCTTGTACCGGAGGAGCACTACTGCTTGGTATCGGTGGTGCCTTGGATCCCATACGTCTGGAGTTGTGTAGAACCAAACTATGATTGCCTTTGCAAAGTTCATTACCAGCACGTTTGTTTTTGGTTCTCTAGATTGGTCATCAAGTCTTCTACAAATTCAAGGAGCTGGGTCTCACATGACCTATTGACTCGGAAGCCATGTTCAAAGTCACTGAGTATATTTTGGCTTTCAAGATGCTTCATGACTGTACTTGCCATTATGTGCTCCAACAGTTTGCAGATCACGCTGGTTTAGGGATATCAGACGATAGTTTGCAGGCTCAGACTGCTCACCTTCCTTGTACAACGTGCGTTGTTTTCCAGACTGCTGGAACATTTTCCGAGCATAGTGACGATATGAGGAGGATTGTCAGCGCAGGAGCCATTTTTTGGGCTAATTTTTTAAGAATTTTTAATAATGCACTTGGAGTGTATTCCTTTAAAACAGATCTAAAGACACATCTATTTCGCAAATACCTTCTGGGATGATTGTCTACCTTATTTTCCAGTTAATGCATAATGGCTGTGTTGCTCCGGGTTGAAATGGCTAGAAAGACTTGTATGAAAGAGATTGTATGCTTGTAATTAGTTTTTGTAGTGTTGCGTTTGTTTTAAATGTGGTAAATTATAGATATGTTTTTTGTTGACTTTGTACCGCGCTTCGAGCCTTTGGGGATGAAGCGTGTTTTTGAAATAAACTTTATTATTATTATTATTATTGTTTTCAAACACTCCATGCATCAGCACAGTTGTAGTCTCTCCTCTTTTTCTTCCTGCCATATTAGTAGCTTACTACGGGTAATTTAAATTCTGCTAAATAACTTTATACATAGCAGATCTATTAATGAACTTCAATATAAGAGTAATTGTTTAAATAGCCTTTCAAACCGAAACAGTTGGATTTTTTCTTTGCCATCGCTCAAGTGGTAGATTACCATGGTTTTAATATACCGGTACAATAATACACGTCTAACACTGAACACGACGTCGACGATAACTTACTGACTTATGACTAATGAATATAAGGACAGTTAATAAATATTTAAATATAGGCCGGCACTACGTACACCGCGGCGGTGTACCTAGCGAAACTATTGACTTTGGCCTGCGTACACCGCGGCGGTGTACCTAGCTAAATCATGGTCTGTGGCCTGCGTACACCGCAGCGATTTACAGTAGCCAAACTATGGTCTTTGCGAGCCTTTAACTTTTTGGCCTAACCGGTACTTGTAGATTTAATGTTATACTCGTGTTAAAACTGAAAACTATTAAAAATTCGTTTATTACCTTGGGAAGATATTGAGTAAGGTCCACGCGTATGTGGCAAAGTGCATGTAAAGCATTTCTTATTATTTTTGGAAGGGAAGGGGCTGGGGGGGGGT